GTAAAAGAAAGCAGGATGGGCAGAGTACTATTCCATTTCTTCTACTTGTTAATCTGTCTCTTTTTTTTGACCCTAAAATGATCAAAGCTACTAATATCCTTCAAGTGTCCATAGTAGAAATTAGAAGTAAACTCATTAATTCTTCATGAAGACCAAATGAGACCATTAGGTTCATTAGGCAATGAACCTAAAAGTAAAGAAATTAAAGGCAGTGCTACTTCGGGCCCACTTAAAAACAGTCCTCCAGGCCATGGAGATGGCTCAGAGAGTAAAGGAAGGTGCCATGCAAGCCTGAGGGCCTGAGTTCTATCCCAGGAACCCAGAGTGGAAGAAGAGAATCGACTCACAAAAAGTTGTCTTCTGACCTCCACAATCACCATACCACACTTATGCATGAGCACACGTGCACGCACACACATGCACACGCACCCACACAAATAAATTTAAAACAAATGATCATCCCAGTATTACTTTCTCAAAAATACAAAACCAGCCCTCAAAGTTCCTGATGCATCTTCTTTTTCACAAGAGGAATTATTTATTTCATGGGATGGAGGTAATGTAAGTCAAAGATCTACCATTACGGTAGCATTAATATCAAGAATTAGTAAGGTCACTAACCAAAAGATTACCATTATAAACAAAGTTCACAGCAACCCTCCATACCAGCACCAAGACTTTTTTCTTTTTTTCCTTTTCTAACACAGAGAGGTAGACAATGTGTAAAGAAAGGTAGCCAAGTCTCCCAAAATTAAATGCGTAAGTTCAGTGCTACTTTCAACAAAATTCTAATGAAATTTTTCACAGAGCCTGACTAGGTGGTACTATCTGGAACACAACAAGGTGATTAAAATTATTAGGAACAATACGTAGGCCTCTTCTGATAATGAGAAGGAACTTGGACTATTAGACATTAAGACTTAAGTGGCAGCCAGGCAATGGTGGTACACACCTTTAATCCCAGCACTCAGGAAGCACAGCCAGGACTACACAGCAAGACCTTGTCTCAAAACAACAAAAAAGAAAACAAAACGTTCTGCAAAGAGGAAGACAAACTACTTGGAGTAAAAAATCCAAAATATACTTGAGTATATGTGACATAATACAGGACAAAGGTTATCACTGAGGGGAGGGGTAATTATTAAAACAATGGGCCAGAAAAAATAAAAATAAAGAAATTCATAAACATAGAAGAGGAATAAAGGAACTCTATACTAACCGTAAAAAACAACCC